AAATAAATTATTATGACATGTCTAGAGATAGATTCAAGTTTTAAATGATGTACAATAGTCCATTTCACGGTTACCTGGACGCCATCTTGGATTTGCACGAAAGCGAGGCTGACCTTGAGTCGTCTGGAAAGGTGTAGCAAGAACGTGTTCGCCAAAATTGATACTTAAGAGAATTATTATCTGAAACAAGGTTAATTATGCCGATCACCTTTAGGGGAAAACAACTTCTTTCGCTAGAAGATATCCAAGCACTAAAAGTCACTAATTGAAAGAGATTCTGCGGTCATATTCAGAGTCATGCTGTGGCATTAAGGCAGATTTAATTTTGAGAGTTTACGCTATCTTGATGAAGACGGTCCTTCCCAGAGTGACCACTGGAAAAAATTCAGGAATTAAGGCAACTACTTACAAAGATTACACTTTCGAAAGTGCAACAAAGGAAATTGAGCCAACTATGTGGTCGAAAGACTTGAGAAAACTGCCAAAAATGAACTTCCTACAGCTCTACGAGTACTTGGTAGTTAAAACATCAAAATATCGTCATATTGTGTTGAAAGCCACAAACTACAAAAAGCTCAAGTCGTACCAGTTCTTTTTTGAAGGACATATTCGTAGAATTGAGATCGCTGAGAATACAGGAGAGAACACATACGTAAAAGCAAATGTCATAGCTTCTATGAGGAAAAAATGCTATCAAGTTTTGGTAGAATTCTCAAAAGAGCACGACATCCAAAGGGCGACTTGCACCTGTCCGGCAGGGCTGAGCGGGGAAGGAAGAGGTAAATGCAATCATATAGGAGGACTTATTTTTGCGATAGAGGACTTCTCCCGAAAAGACCTACAAAAGCACCAAGAGCCATTGTCCTGTACTTCCCGTCTTTCAACGTGGGTGGTACCGAGGAATCAAAGCCAGCTGATCAAGTTCTGATCCGAAAAATCCAGTTTGGAAAGGAAAACATTCGTACTACCACAAAAGTTATTCGTCATGACCCCCGAGCAATGCATCAAAGACAGATAAACCAAGAAAATTACCACCCCAAGCCTCACTTACAAAGGTCACCTGTCCATTTGGGGATACTCCTACCAACAGTTTCCAGGTATTATGATGTTTGTACTGGGACCAAGTTTGGGACTGCGCAATCATTGTTGATGGTTTTTCTATAAAAACTTCTGTACAGTCTAACACTACTCTGGTGGTGGGATATTTGTTAAACTCTGCAGGCATATTTCTTCTCACAAGGTCTTGAGAAGGGAAAGGAAACAAAAGTTTCAGTTCATGACTTAAAAAGACAATCCAAGTATTACATATGCTTGAAGCTAATGACTGACTAACTCCGAATCTATCTGCAAGATCAGATAAAAACAATCCAACTCTTAATCTGACAAGAACCATGAATAGTTCATTCAAACCATCAAGTTTTCTGGTAGGACCAGGTTTCTTTTTTTCATTATTTTCATGATATCTTGTAGACAGCTTTAAATTTTTTTTCACCTTTCCAATACTGCAAATTCTGTACTTTAGGCTCAAGATATCTGTAGAAGGCTACTAGTGCATTATGATTTTCAAATCCTGTGTAAAACGAGATGGCGTTATCATCATCTTTATATTTTTCGAGAGAAAAATATTTGCTCTTGTGATACTGACATTCATCGTTTAATGACTGTACTTGTTTCTGAAGTCCATCTACTTGCATCCTCAGCTCATTTATGAGTTTTTCCTGAGAGTTTTCTTGGTAGCCCTAAAGGTAAATTGGAACACTAGTTATTAATCTCCAAAGCTCACAAAGTAAAGTGTGTAAAATTTATTGAGATGTAAGTTACATTGCCATAACACATTTACCTCCATATTATCGATGTTTTCCACTGGAACTTCAACATCCTCTTCGATATTACAACTAGTTACAATATCTTCAGTTCTTTTGTCCAGTGTCTCAACTTTTCTTGATTTAGGAAGTGCTCTTTTGTTGGTATCTTTAGGTTTACTCCATTGATGACCAAGCGATGGTTCCGCGTCTGCATGATGTAGATTTCAAAAACAATAATAAATCTTTTGCTTGATCCGGTTTGCTTATATCACCAAGAAAAAACGCAAGTTTACCTTTAAGCTTACCTTTTTTTAGTTTCTTGATCCCAGTTAATGTTTTATAAATGTCTTTTTCCGAAAAATGACTACTGCAAACCACTGTTAACCTCGTGATATAGAAACCATCATGGCCGTGCCGTCTCTTTATAAGATTACACCATCGATTTTGCTTTGATTTGTCACTCGGGAAARAGAAAAAATTCAAGTCTGGATTCTTATTAAAAGCGTTGGTACAGCCATAGGCAGCACATTGCGGACCTACGCTTTTTCTCTCGTTTTTCAAACGTTTTGAGCTCATTTTTGCTTGAACAGTTACCGGAACTACAGTATAAACTTTTCAAGCCTTTCCAGACGACTCAAGGTCAGCCTCGCTTTCGTGCAARTCCAAGATGGCGTCCAGGTAACCGTGAAATGGACTATTTATCATGATCGGAGTTACCATAGCAATACAGTGACGTCATGTCATTTTTTTATACATTCCATTTTTGGCGAAATCAGACGTTTGTTTTAAAAATTGTTTAACAGAACTTAAAGTTCATATGTTTGTCTTCAAGTTAACAAAGTTTCGAAGATTTGTATGGAAGCGTTTCGATATAATTGCCGTCGGAACTTTTGGGCAACAAAAATGTAAACAAACCTTTCCTTTCTGGACTTGGGAAAAGCTTTTTTTTGGGGTCATAGTGTTGTGTTACTATTCCACTAGTCCTTCTGAGAAATGGAAAGAAATCGCGTTATTCGATTTCGAAAAATATGATTTCAAGCCTAGTTAGTAAAGTTGTGCCTTTTGATATCTTGTCAAAGATTTCACTTGTCTTTACTAAAAACGGTTAAACTCAATAATCCGATGATGAATTCTTTTTTAACTTCGAAGTCAGTTACTTTAGATAACGCATTTATATACCCTAAAGTTTCAAGTTCATTGAAATAATTTAAAACCGTCAAATAATATTCTCAATTCCGTAAACATTTGTATCCTAATTCTAAATATACGACCGCTTTCTTCGTTGCCCAAAAGTTCCGACGGCAATTATTTCGAAACGCTTCCATACGAATCTTCGAAACTTTGTTAACTTGAAGACAAATATATGCACTTTAAGTTCTGTTAAACAATTTTTAAAACAAACGTCTGATTTCGCCAAAAATGGAATGTATAAAAAAATGACATGACGTCACTGTATTGCTATGGTAACTCCGATCATGATAAATTGTATATCATGTAAAACTTGAATCTATCTCTAGACATGTCATAATGATTTATATGAAATTAACTTATTGGCAGCGACGCATTTCCCCTTCAAACTTCGAAGGTACGCCACAAACAAAACCCCAGTCGAGCCACCTTAAGACCTCGCGCTTTAGAAACATTACTATTGAATGGATTGTCTTGAAATTTTCACATATATATTTCCAAGTATTGCGAATGAGCCATACGAAAAATCAGCATCAGATCTTAAAAACTCATCGAATAAATGTTTTTTTACTAATTGTCGTTGTAAACCTCACAAATAAGAGTTTTTCTAAAAACCACATTTTCGCCGTTTTCTTTAAAACGGCTCCAAGTGTTTTCTTTAAACTACCTACATCAATAGACCAGAGCTTTATCTAGATGGTAGTGAAATTTCTACAGCTCTCGTCCTATCCAAATTTTGGAGAAAGCATTTTTTAAAGTGAGGTGCACCTAAAGAGCTCATATATCACCCTATTCAGCGGAACATCCCAGCATAGGATGGTGTCAATGTGGTGTCCAGCCCCGCGGGTGGGGGGTGGGAATAACTCGCCAGAATTTGGTAGGGGTGTTCCGCTGGGATTCTGAAAGGGGTACCTTGTTCATGACAAAAAATTAAGTTTGTAGACGCTGTTTATGACAAAAGATATAATTAATTGCAGTGAGTTCCTGTTTCAATTATCATGTCATCTCGCGTATCGTTTTTTTTTTTACGACTATGATAACCAGTTTCGGTCAATATGAAAGTAGAAACCCTGAATATGTCAAGAAAGTCAGGAAGAACTTGGACCTTTAGTGAAATTGCATACCCTGTTCATGACAAGAAGCTCGAGAAACCATACCCTGTTCAGCGGATCATCCCCGTATAGTCCATATATGGGGTACCCCCCCCCCCCCCCGGGGTCCAGCCACTCTTAGGATAGACTTTTTCACCTCATTTTCAAAATTTACGGGGTTTAGGGGGCACTCTCTTGTACCCGCAGATTAGTTCCCCGACTCAAATCTATGCTCCGCGGTTCTTGCGACACCAAAAGAAAATACACACTTGCTCTCGCAGCGACTGCGTGTTTACAGTCAAACAAGCTCACGCGTTGACCCCTAGATTCGATTAATGAAATCATAAGTCAATTATTCCTTTTATACGTACGAACCGGAATAATGCAATGTTGCAATATTCAAATGAAAATTCAGTTCATTATTCGACTCGTGATGAAGAAGGTAAATCATCTAAATTACAGATACCTTCGAGCAGAAGTCGCTCTCTTATTTCATAAGCATACACACTAGGTTTCGTAATTTCCATGCCTCAATTACTTGGAGGATATCGTCAGTAATTTTGTATGGAACGCTCCCGCCTTGGGCGAAATGGAGACACAGTTCCATGTCGTCGATAATGTTGAAGTATTTTCTGGACTCCCCAGCTAGAAATTTTCAGTTGTCACGAAATTGCTTTATTGGACAATCCGCTATTGCTGAGATGAACAATTTGCTGTCGAATAATATCAGGTAAAGGCCTTCCCGGCACATAAACACGGCCAAGACTATTTCTGGCCGCCATGTTTTCTTGGTCTTCCTGCTGTGTTAGCACTGATTAACCAATCAAAATGTCGTATATTGAATTTAAAGTTGATTGGAATTTTCATATCTCCGTTTTCGACGTTGTAAATTTCAACTGAATAATGAAATCAAAATTCGAAAATTCAAATCATTAATCGACTCTAGGGGTCAACGCGTGAGCTTGTTTGACTGTAATTATAATATAGCTGTCACTTTCCCTCGTTACAATGTGTAAATTAGTGATAACGAACAACTTGCAAGTGCAACTAGAATAACGAACCTACCGGACACTGTAGAAATCGACTTTAGTCAACTGGATAGCTCATCGAAAACCACCCCATCACTTTGAAAGAAACACGAACGAAAGTTGGGCTATTAACTGACGAGTTATCTGATAGATTGTATTTTGGGAATTTTGAGACTCGGTTGTAAACTGAAGCGTTCACGGTTGTGAATTCTTGATATCTCATGAAAAGCACTTTTTTGTGTTAAAGGTTTGTATATTTATGTTTTTTCTTCTGTTTATAGATTACATTTGAAGAGAAATAATGCTTCAAGTGAACTTAGTTTGAAAAATCTTTAGTCACGCAATCGCCAAACATAGTATTTTTGCATGTAAAATGAGCCAAAATAAAATCTGTCGCAAAAAGCGCACAATTATTTACCCAAAATAAAAAATACATTTTTCAAAAGGGCAGTTTCCAAATAGCTATTGACCATAATTTTATAAAATTTAGAGAGATGGCACATGATGAAACTCGCAGTTTTTGAGATGTAATGACGAGCCATGTAACTTAGTGCCCTTTGCTTTTCATTGTGCTAAAATATTATAAATTGTCCGACTCAAAAAAAAAAAATTTAATACTGTAAATGAGAGAAGAAGAGCTGTACTATGAGCAGAAAGTATTGTAAGGCTATTTTGATTAAGAGTTTTGCTACGCGGACCTAGCGAACGAAAGCAATTTTTAGTCATATTTTGATATTATTTTGTGGACTGAGAAATCCACGCACTTTTCCTCTTATTGAATGCAGAACTAAACGTTTCTCAAGAACCTTTATTCCATCCTGGGAATAATGGGATGACTGTAGTCAACAATGAAATGTCATTTTCAAGTTTTATATCGTTTTATTCAATCAATCAATCAATCAATCAATCAATCAATCAATCAATCAATCAATCTTTATTGTGCTCAATAGTTTACAGATACAAATAATAATATTAATTATTAATACCATAAACAGAATTTTACATTCACATGATTACTATGTAATGCAGAAACGTATATTTGTATACTTGTATAATAAAATCAAGTTTTTTAGGTTATTTATTAAACTTAAACTTATAAAAAATTCGATCACAAAAATCCACATACATTCTTTATAGAAGTACAGTGCTTGGACTGCCTTTGATTATCTAAGTCAAGTGGTGTAACTATGGGATAAAGGAATGAACAAACGAACGAATAAGGCAGAATTTGTCGGCTGAGAGATTACGCGGGGGACGTGGTACTTCCAATTTTTATTGATGTACCATTAGTGGCAGATGTGCGAATGCGTATAGGTGTAGATGGATGGTTGGATGGAAGGGAAAGGGATAAACAAATGTATTGACGATTATCTCATTGAGCAAGGAACGTAGTTTATATTTGTTTGTGTTTTAACTTGTCAGTAGTACCTCCTGCATCTGTGATTTAAGATGGGAGCAAAGCAGTCTTTAAAAAAGAGACTTAGACAAGACTTGGCTGATGCCCTATTCCGTAGTGCAATGTTGGAGGCCCTTCAAGAAGCTGCCAATGAGTCGGATGGCTCATCAGAGATGCTAGAACACGCTTGGGATCCAAGTGATTGTTCACCACCCTTTGTAGTTCTGCCTGATAGACTGACGGCAAGAAGGCAACTTTCAATCCTCACTTCAGACTGTATACGAGGTAATATCATATCCTTATAGTAGCTCCTGAGCGATCAATTTTTTTCGTTTGTTTTTTAATCCGTGATTCAGTAGGGAACACACTCGCGCCATTTAACTTACTGATGATGAGCGGCGCGGACTGCGAGATGAGCCTCGGAAAGGCACTAAGAAGAACTTTGGGGAAGTTAATTTGAGGCGCAACAAACTATTTGATATTTATTTTTCTTACGGTGCCCTCATTTTTCAGGCAAAAAAAGGTATCGAGATGGACAACACGTCTGGGAGATTAATTGGGAAAATGAAGAAAGAGGAACATTCGCCATTGTTGGAGTGGCCACACCTAAAGCTCCTTTACAGTCTCTGGGTTATGAGCCTCTTATTGGCAGCAACAGCGAGTCTTGGGGGTGGGATATTGTCAGCAAGACACTTTGGCATTGCGGGAAAAGGGGCAGTTATCCAGCAGTTGGAACAGGATTCCAAGTACCTGATACATTCTTTGTAATCTTGGATATGGACCAGAGGACGCTGAGGTAACATTATTGGCTATAGTATACTATATGTAATATATAAAATGTTATTTTAAACATATTGGGAGAAAAGCGCAGTC